GGCTCACACATTTTTGTCTCAGCTCAGGAAGGAGGGCTCCAGAGCAAACTAATTTCTGCAGCGGCCAAATCACTTGCTCACAGCTTTAATGCCAGTAGCTCACAAAGTAGAATTTTTGCTCACAAGACTCCACAGCTTAGAGGGAACACTGTCTACCATTGTATCTCCTTTCCTTCTTCTTTGATCTCTTGCCACATCTTGGTCACACCTTGAGAGTTTACCATATCACCATAGGTTATAAAATCATGGTTTCTCCTTCTGTGATTGCCGTAATAAGCATCTATTGTTCACATTATTGGTGGAATTGTAGGGCTGATTCTCTTTCGTAGCATTTCCCAAATTTTAAATAAGCTATCTCCAATTATATGATTTTTATCTTGTGTTATGCTTTTTGACATAGGTTTTTTATTCCACAAATAACTATATAAGCCATCATCAAGATTTGAATATTCTAATTTTATCAGCCTTTCATTGGGGCTTCTGATCCAATCCACTTGGGGTGCAGAGCCTGGGGAGGGCAAAGTTTGGGAAAGGGAGGGAGCTCCACAGGACTGTGATGCCATGGAGAAGCTGCCATTCTCTCCAGGGGAATGGGTCTCTGTTTTCTGGAGATCAGTTATAATTCTGGGAGAATTCCTGGCCCCACCTGGATGTCAGTAACCTCACTGCCTTGTGGTGGTCAAGCATTCTCCTAAGGTGGAATCAAGCATTCATCTGAATGTGTTCTGAAGAGTATTCTACTCCAGGGATGTGAGCAAAAGCCAGGATTGGTACTTTGCTTTGAGGGAAAGATGCTTTGGTGAAGAGGCAATTGACCACCAGAAAACCTATGGGAGGGCACCCTGTGTGGCACTCACGGGTACTACTTTGGATATCCCTGACTTAATAAAGGTCTACTTCCTGTTTCCTGTTCTGTCAGATTACATTGCCCAGCAAGCAGCGCTTTCAGCTCTCTTCCTTATAGGGTAAAGGTAAAGGTTTCCCTTGCTCGAAAGCCAGTCGAATTCGATTAAGAGACGCCAATGTTGGATCAGGCCAAAGGCCCATCCAGTCCAACACTCTGTGTCACACAGTGGCCAGAAATACCAGTGCCATCAGGAGGTCCAGCAGTGGGGCCAGGACATTAGAAGCCCTCCCACTGTTGACCCCCCCCCAAGCACCAAGAAGACAGAGCATCACTTGCCCCAGAGCCCCTAGCTATACCTTGTGGCTAATAGCCACTGATGGACCTCATAAGAACAACATAACATTCTATGGATGCGGTGCTCATCTCCGTTTCCAAAACAAAGAGCCAACGCTGTCCAAAGACATTTCCATGGCCATGTGGCCAGCATGACTAGACGCCGAGGCACACGGAATGCTGTTACCTTCCCATCGAAGCAGTACCTATTTATATAATTGCATTTTCTTGCTTTCGAACTGCTAGGTTGGCAGGCGCTGGGACCAGAGATGGGAGCTCACTTCGTCATGTGGCACTCGGGGTCTTGAACTGCTGAACTACCAACCTTCCGGTCTGCAGTTCAGCGTCTTAACCACTTGAGCCTCTGCAGCCCCTCTTGCTTATAGCTGTTACTATATCTAAGAACACCGCACAACAGCAATACAAAAACTTACACAAACTGGGGTCCTGTGAAAATCACCCAAGGAGAGGGGTAAATCATTTGGAAATCTCAGCTCCCCCACCCTCCCCAGCCAACACTCATATTCTAACCTGGCTAAAGTCAGGTTTTGGAAGTGAAATGAAAAAAGCACGTCCTTATAAGTTCTTGATCCCTTATCAAACAACCGTATGGACAGAATCATAGCAATGCTAATACAGAGAGCCTTGGGTACGCAAGAAGCTTAGCACTGAGTAAACGGCCCATAATTTTAACTGATTTACATAGAGTCCTACTATTGGTCCATCGGTAGCAGCTCTTCAGTTCCACCCCTAGCCTACTTGGTCTTTCCTCCCCATAAGGTTTTCTTCAAAGCGGTGTGGCCTTATGTACATTGGCAGCTCTTCCCCAAGACTTTTCTGAAATGGCTGACTCTGCCCTTCTTGCCTCCAGACCTAACCACATCACTCAACTCAGCTACCAGATTTATTTTTTGTATTTCAAAAGTTGTCATCATGTAGGTGCACCCGTACCCAAGATGGTCATGGATCTGTCTGCCATATTCAATATTAGCCACTGTCCCTGACAATAATAAAGACGTTCTCGACTTTGGCACAGTTTGGGGAGTGACTCAAAAACTGTAAATGAAGCAAACAAGGGAACATACGAAGAAGTTTATTTTGGGCTTTTGGGCTGCAAGAATGGAGCAATATGATTTTATTTAGCCCAGACTTAAAAGAAATTATGCAATCCATTCTGGTTTTCTTTCAGTTTTTTAAAATACCTGTTCACTTTATTACGTTTTATAGAATATAATTTTAAATGTTAAGATGTACAAGTCCACATTTGCTTACTAGAACTTGTGCTTATTCGTTATCCATTGTTATTTTAGTCTCTTTATTTTTTTCTCCAAACAGTTGCACTTTTAAAAATGTGTGATTTATGAATATATGGTTTTGGTCCTTCACAAAGTACAGCGGAAAAATGGTTCAATAAAAAGTTATTAAAGAAAAATCCATAATGTTTCATATCTTGTGCTTACGCCATAGACCAGGAGGCTTAACTGATTTTAATCAATCACACTTGCTAACTAAACATGCCATGCTCTAACATCAGCTCAAAACTGCTAAGGCAAGTTGTCACCTTCTTTAGCTGAACGGGGAAGCCACGTGGTCAAAGACAAGGGAAGTCTCTCTGTGAATTTAAGTAAATTCAAGCAACATAATCCCTTATTTTACTATAGTACATATTATCATGTATTTAATTCTGCACCTGGTCCTCTTGCAGATAGAAAAAACATAGAGAATGGTGCTAGGTTCAAATAGGGGGTATTCTTCTGCAGATTTGGGGGGGGAAACCAGGTTTCTAGAAAAACTAAAAAGCAGAGAGGGTTAGATTCAAAAAAAAAAACAAACCCCAGGAGAAAGTGAGCTGAAGCCTCCCTCCTACTCCCATGTAAGCCAGGCAGTCACTGGTGGTAGCTCTGTGGGTAGGCTGGCCAATGACTAGGCAAATAAGGTTAACGGGTTAAAGCCTTCCATCAGTTGTATGGAATATAGTTTGGAACTCTCATCTGTGTTATCATAGAGTCATATGAGAAGGTCTACAGGGCACTGTCAATACTACTGTGGTTGCCTTGGTAGGTCAGTCCAAGTATGTGTTTTGGGTGGGGTTATTATTTTTGCATTTTGTGTGTATGTGTGTGCACGGATGTGCCTATGCCTGGAAGTCATGGCGACCTCTGGCGACTCCTACTGGGCACAGAGGACATTCAGAGAAGTGGCTTGATAGCCTGCCTCTGGCCTCCCAGCCCTGGTGTTCTCTGGAGGTCTCCCATCCAAATACTTGCCAGGTTTGGCCCTGGTTAGCTTCCAAGATCAGGCTTGCCTGGACTATCCAGGTCAGGGCAGTCCAAGTATGTCTTATGCTGGAGAAGTTTTGAAACCACATATTGGAATCTATCACTGGGATACACATGTTTTAATTTTCATCATCAACATATCCCTTTGAAGACGCAGAAGAAATGTGTTTGCATCCAAGGCTTAAGGAACCAACTGAACCTTAGTTTCAAGTATTGTGCTGGAAACACAAGCATCCACATTTTCCTCCCACTCTCCCTTCACGGAGCTCAGGATAGTGTGCGTGGTTTCCCCCTTCTTCCATAATATCCCAAGACTAACCCTGTGACATAGATTTGGTTGAGAGAGGGTGACTGGCCCAAAGTCATCCAGTGAGTATCACTGCTGAAGGGAGACTTGAACCCAGGTCTCCCCAGTCCCACCCCACTCTAACCACCACATCACACTGGCATAGGATGTAACTAATGATATGCCCAACACATGCTGGGCCACAGGGCTGCCAGTCATGAATACTAGAGGAAACTCACCTTAAAAACGACTCATTCGCTCAGTACTGAAAGGGAGTACTGTAAGGGGAAAGAAGGAACTTTCCATTTCAAAGGACATATGGAGCCAGAGAAAAGGGGTGAAAAGACACCCCCCCCACTGCCCTTTCAACTGGTAAAAGTGGTGTGAGAACGAAACTGGCAGCCCCTTCTCCCCCTGCCTGTGCAGAGCTCTCTTTCCGTACCAGGAGAAAGAGTGCTTTTAAAGGTGAGTTCCCCTGATGTACATCTGACTGCAAGTCCAGTCAACAGGGTTACCAATCCCCAGTTGGGGGTGGGGGATTCCCCAGTTTGGAGCCCCTCCCCCACTTCAGGGCAATCAGAAAGCAGGGGCGTATGGCCACTGGGCACTCCATTATACCCTATGGAGACCAGTCCCCAGTCCCCTATGGAGAATCAATCTGTGAGTATTTGGGGCTCTGAGGGGGCTGTAGAGGCACCAAATTTTCAGTATAGCTGCTGTTGCTTCTCCTTAAAAATTCCATCAAATTTCAAAAAGATTGGACAAGGGGGTCCAATTCTATGAGCCCCAAAAGAAGGTGCCCCCATCCTCTATTGTTTTCAATGGAGGGGGAGGCATTTAAAAGGAATGGTGGTCCCTTTAAATGCAACAGCCAGCTCACCCAGAACTCGCTTTGGAGGTCAATCATGCTTCTTCTGTCCCCTCTCCCGGAGCCTCCAGGTAAGTCCCTCGCTGGCTTGTCAGCCTCACCCGACAACCCTACTGGCAGTCATGCATCCAGGACCTGACACGTGTTGGGCGCATCATGTAGTTATTCCCTTAGTCAATCTATTTTTCAAACCAGCATAAAGCGTCCTACCAGGGGGAAAACCCTCATCATTTTTGCACATTTTCTATGTGGAAATGAGGAGAAATACAAAACTTCTATATGGATGTTAGTCACTTATGTCATGTTTAGATGTGGAAAACATGAAAGCAATGAGCAACAAACTATTTTTAAGGGAGATCCCGAAGCACTGATTCAGATAGAGGTTTAACATCATTTATTTTATGCTCAGATTCCCTCTGCCTGGTGTGCTGTGAAAAAAGAAGAAAAAAGAGCTCCCTGCTTCCTTGCAGGTCATGCTGATTCATCTTACCTAAGACCAGCTAGAAGCAATCATCAGACAACCTGAGGCTGAAAACAGTCATGTTGACCCAGCAAAAGGCCCATGAGAAAAATGGCAAGCCGATAACATAGCCTTGAAATATAAGGCCAGAAGGGACATTTGTTTCAGCATATGGCAGACGTAGGAAACATCTCATCCTTGTTAGCTCCCAGTTACTTCAGCCCAAAGGGAGTTAATCAAACACAAGCACAGGATCTGGAATATCACTGTCAACACTGAGTTTTGGCCAAATGTGAGAGCACCTAATAACATGCTTGCCATAGCTGGGAGCGCCACACACGCAAGGCTTCCCCCAAAGCCACCACATGCTACTGAAGTCATATGAATAGGCCTTCCATTCCCAGTGAAAAGGAACTTCCCAATCCACTCAGTGTCCATGAAATCATTCACACCAGCTGAGAGTGAACTCCGGAATGCAGCATGATGACGCAGGCATAACTCACGTCCCACTTTTCTAAAAACACAAGTAGTATGCCCAGTAAAGCAAATTGACCACCATAAAAAACAAAGGAAACAGCAACTTTGAATAGTGATCGATGTTGCTGGGATTGTGAATGGTGAAATAGTTGTTGGCTTTGCGCATTTTGTTCTTTATGATAAACCCAATTTTGCCCTTTGAGTTAATGGTTAAGTCATTATCAAAGGTGGGAAAGTTTAGTTTTCTATTGTAGCTGGCAACAGAAGTGTTCAGGATGTCAACAATGGTGATATCTCCAGTTTCTCTTGAGACGTTGTTCGTGGAATCCTATAATAAGACAAAGTTATCATAATGGATGATTTGGCCATACAGAATTACTATTCAATATACAGTCCACCAAAATACCGTCAACCACAAAGGCAAATTGCCATGTTCCTGCCGAAGTACTGTTATTTCAGAACTAAAAACATTCCTGCAAGTTTTAACACAAGCCAAATATCAAAGCCCAAGGGACCAAAAATTAACATCCTTTCCTGGTACTCATACCCTTGAATGGTTTGCACCATTTGAGAGGTAGGAACTAGGGAGGTGCATCGGCCGAACGGAACAAAAACCCTAATAATGCCTATTGGGCAGTATTTGGGCAGGCTTTGGAAGTGGACAGGGGGAGTGAAACTGACATGCTGTACTGGCAAGCCGAATATTTTTGGCAATGCCAAGTATTTCCCGAATCCCAGCATAATACCAATAGTGGGATTCTGGAATATGAGCATTTACCAATATTTTTTGGGTTTAGTTTACCTGAACCCAAAAAATACAGATTTCCCTCCCCCCCACGAACACCCCTAGTACCAACATGGAAGCTTCTAACCCCAACAAAAGGGATCACCTACATAAACCAGAACATCCAGCCTACTGTGCAACTGGATCAATCCATTGTGTTCTATGTTTTTGGAAACAGCAATCGTTTGGTTACAAATGAACACTATTTTTTAAGGACAGGCTTATATGAGACTGAAGGAGTTTCAGATATTCTTCCTCAAGAATAAACCTACTTAAGTGCCTATTCAAGTGGCTTTAATTTAGGTCTCTAAGGCTGCATTGTTCTCTTTCCTGAGAATGTACATGCCTAAAAGGCAAAGTTCATTATGTTTCCAGGAACAGAAGTAGGCGATATTAAGGGAACGGGTTGGATCGGCCCTTTAACTCACTGGGAAGGTTACTGGTGGCCTGTTGCCCTGGAGATAGCTGGAAGTAAGCTGAAACAAGTGGCCCTGACAGTGTCAGCAGTGCAACAAGAACCATTTGGCTCAGGCATGGTCTGTTGTGACCAGGGCAATGGGTGTAGGCTTTCGACCCTGCACACATTCCTATAGTCACTAACAGCGCTGGATAATCCAAGAGGATTCTGCAAGCAACTCAGTAGCCACTTGGCTCAGTATTGTTTTAACATTGCACTCAACTCCAGCACAAGAGAGGGTTCATCCTTCTTCTCTCAGGCCTGGCTGTGCCTTTGTGGCCTGTTTATCAAGTCAATGGAAACCCACATTTCCACGTTCTGCTTTCTTGGGAATGGGAATAAATGTTCCTCTATTAAAACAAATTCTTGCATGGAGAAAACTAAGTGTCATGAAGAAGGGTTATATTCTGCTAGGTTTCTATAAGACTCCTCATAGATTACAACCTGGAGAGACTGAATGTGGGGTGGGGAGTGGGATGGGAATGGCCCCACACCCCGTCCACATTCTATATAACTTGTGAGCAAGAGGCTAATGGACATGCAGAGACTTTGTACACATGATCAGAATCTCTGATAAACACAGGGTCCCAATCACGTGTACAAATCCTATGCACACAGTTGTTAGCCACAAGCTATACTACAGAGATGAAGTCAACAAATGCAATTGTACTTTACAAATTTATACAATATGAAGTCCTCGTGTCTCCTCACCCCAGCAATGTTTGGGAATTACATTCCCAGAGTAGGTCTGATAGACAGGACCCGGAGTGGACACATGGGGGGATGGGAACACAAGGACTATTCATAAACAAACATGGATTTATACTCCCTGGACTGTAACTTGTGAACAATCCCTGGACTGTAACTTGTGAACAGTCTTATAGGACATGATTTTTCCTCATGAAAGTGTATTTTAGCTGCAGTCTGAAGTGGTACACTGAACTGGTACACCCCTCCTTGGGGAGTGCTAAACCCAGGTTAGAATAATGTAACTGAAGGGATGTTAAGTGCACCTATGCCTTACGTCAGTGAGTTTTTAAAATGTGCTTTTCTCATGCTATTGAACATCTCATAAACTATGCAAAACAACCCAATCAATTTTTTAAAAATCTATCAACTTCTACTGACCCAATCATTTTTGCTTTCAGCCTGACTCATATTGTCATAAACTGTATCCAAAGAATGCATTTTCACTGAATGAGCAGATGGTACTGTTCTTTGAGGTCCGACAGTACTTTCATTACTCTTAATTCTTCTACAATTGGAATGTGTATTGTTCTGAGGCCAGATAATAGCTTTGAGTTTCCAGTACTGGGGTTGAAATTACTGGGGTTGAAATTACCTTCAAAATGGAAACCTAAATCCTCAGAACTTAACTCAGTTGGCTGTAAGGGGGATTTTGGATGCTGTTTTCATTTTAGTTCTGTGAGACAACTGGGACTAATAAAGCTAATAAAATTGTGTGGGAAGTACCACCAGTGAGTATAACTTGAGTTTCTACTTCCAGGGGGAAATGCCCATTTACATATTTTTTATGTAATTCCTTGAAATTGTCCTAGAGAAAAATTATTTTTGTTTTCAAGATCAATTTTATTTTCAAATTCAGGAGGCTGCTATGGGCAGTCCACCACAGGCAATTTATTCATGTGCAGTTTTGAAGAACAAATTACTTTTCAATCTTCTTCCTCCTTATTGAGTCATTTGAAAGTTTATTACAAGATACATTGATGACATTTTCATAATTTTCAGTGGGAATGATAAATTTTGTTAATTTGTGGAATGGTTGAATAGCTTTCACCCCATAAGTTTTCTTATGTCTATGACTCCATTCAGATTTCTTTTTTGGACATATTAGTTTATGCTCATGAAGGTCATTTATGTGTTAAACCTTTTCTGAAGCCTATAGATAAAAATTATTTTTTTGCATTATTCCAGTTTTCATCCACTATGGCTGATCAGGAGCCTTCCTTTCAGTTCTTTTTAAAGTATTAAACATAATACTTCATCTGCTTCTTTCTACTCTGCTGAAGCGGAGTCCTTGAGTCAGAAATTTTATCAGTGTGGATATCCTAACAGAGTGGTGACATCACCCTTGAATTGAGCTAATTGCAAACCAAGGAGGAAATTGTTTGTTCATTCTAAGCCTAATAAAGAAGGTGCAAAAAAAATTTCACTGGAATTTCCCCATTCACCTTACAGATTGAGAGCATAATGCTGATCAAGAGAGAGATCTTGGAGTTGTAGTAGATAACTCACTGAAAATGTCGAGACAGTGTGTGACTGCAATAAAAAAGGTCAATGCTATGCTGGGGATTATTAGGAAGGGTATTGAAAACAGGTCAGCCGATATCATAATGCCCCTATATAAATCAATGGTGCAACCTCATTTGGAATACTGTGTGCAGTTCTAGTCACCACACCTTAAAAAGGATATTATAGCTTTGGAAAAAGTGCAGAAAAGGGCAACTCGAATGATAAAAGGGTTGGAACACTTTCCCTATGAGGAAAGGTTAAGGCGCTTAGGGCTCTTTAGCTTGGAGAAACGACGACTGAGGGGTGACATGATTGAGGTTTATAAGATTATGCATGGGATAGAGCAGGGAGAGAAAGAGGTACTTTTCTCCCTTTCTCACAATACAAGAACTCGTAGGCACTCCATGAAATTGCTGAGCGGTCTGGTTAGAATGGATAAAAGGAAGTACTTCTTCACCCAAAGAGTGATTAACACATGGAATTCACTGCCACAGGAGGTGGCATGGACGGCTTCAAGCATGGACGGCTTCAAGAGGGAGTTAGATAAGCATATGAAGCAGAGGTCCATCGGTGGCTATTAGCCACAAGGTATAGATAGGGACTCTGGGGCAAGTGATGCTCTGTATTCTTGGTGCTTGGAGGAGGGGGTCAACAGTGGGTTCTAATGTCCTGGCCCCACTGGTGGACCTCCTGATGGCACCTGGTATTTTTGGCCACTGTGTGACAGAGTGTTGGACTGGATGGGCCTTTGGTCTGGTCCAACATTGGCGTCTCTTATGTTCTTATGACATTGGCATCTTCTAAACTATATTCCATCCTGTGAAACACAACCTATCATTGGTTTTAAGAAGTCACATTAAGGACTTACTGGTATGTGCTGATTTGAAGATAGTGGAGACATTGCCTTTTTTGCAAGGTCACTGTAAGTGAAATGGATGAGTTAACTGTGCCCAGGCAGCTCAAATCAAAAGCTTTACACACTCACATAGCAAAAAAACTTCACTATAAATCATTTTTCCAACTGCCTATCTTCTCAAGTTGTTTATGTTTAAATATGTCCATGTAATCTTTTGTATGTGGGAGAAACAAACTGTACTTTGAAAAACAGACTGCCTGAACATCGCAGCAAAATTAGGAATCTCAATTTGGATGCTCCTTTGATGACACATTTTCTTGACAAACATCATCAACCCACTGATTTTAAAAAAATTGTTACTGAGAAGATTCAATCTAGGCCTTATCAGTCTCATAATATTGACAAGTTGTTGTTTCAGAGAGAGGCCTTTTGGATTTTTACATTAGACACATTATCTCCTAAGGGTCTCGATGATCATTTGGATTTCACTTTGCATGGTATATATTTTTTGTTTCTGCGTTGTAATTTTACATATTTGCTGTCCCTTTAAATTTTTGGCTCCTCAGCTCACATATAAATGGGACTGGTATAATTCTCATTTACCTTGGCCTCTTTGCTATCAGAGCTGTACATGAAAGATTATTGGAACTGTACATGAGAAATTGGAACACAGGTATTTCTGGAATTCTAAGTGTGAGCTCTTTAACTTCTTTTTATTGCATTTTCAGAAAGACCCAACTGAACAGTCATTCCTTAGAAATGTTTTTGGTTGTTACCATTTGTGGCTTATTCGCTGTGCCTTTCTGAGACGTAACATAATGAGCGAACGCGTACTCCACTAAGGCGCCAAATATAAAACTGAAGCAGATGCCGAGGTAAATGTCAATGGCCTTGATGAAACCGTTGGTTTTCGTAACTGAGTTCCGCGAGCCCATCATCAAGGTGGTCATTGACAGAACCGTTGTCACCCCTGGAAAGGTAAAAGAGGAATCACATTTTCTGGAAGAGTATTTCACGTGGTGCTTTGCAGGGGGGAAGACTTCTTCCTCATTTTTAACTAGGGTGGCAAAAAAAATGTGATCAAGTATCCCACCTCAGTCCCTTGGTCACAAAACATATCATTTTATTTCCTTCAATTTCCTTCATGTTTTCTGATATACTGCCCTCAAAAACTATCGGTTGAATCTCAGGAATCCATTCTGCTATTCAGGATAAAGGGGGATAGAAGTGGGCAAAGGCATGGGCCCTGGAGATCTTCGAAGGATTATAATTGATCTCTAGATCCCCTCCCCAAACCCTGCCCTCCCCAGGCTCCACCCCAAATCTCCAGGAATTTCCCAACCCAGAGTTAGCAGTGCTATTGCAGGGCCCCACAAGGCTCAGGGTCCCCAGCATATCAATTTGTATTACCTAAGATTAATGGACAAACTGATCCAAGCCTGGTATTAACAGGTGTGGCTATATAACTGATAGACTTTTAGATAAAAGAAAACTATATATAACAAAGAAGAAGAAGAAAAAGAAGAAGAGGAGGAGGAGGAGATTGGATTTATACCCCACCCTTCACTCGGAGTCTCAGATGGCTTACAAACTCCTTTCCCTTCCCCTCCCAGTCCCCACAACAGACACCCTGTGAGGTAGGTGGGGCTGAGAGAGCGCTGAGAGAACTGTCCTTGAGAGAACAGCTCTGACAGAACTATGGCTTGTCCAAGGTCATCCAGCAGCTACAAGTGGGGAATTAAACCCAGTTCTCCCAGATTAGAGTCTGCACACTTAACCACTACACCAAACTGGCTACAGATTTCTACATTTAAACAAGTATAAAACCACCACCACCACAGACTAAAAACTCCCACAATCTCAAAAATTAAATGTAATTAATGAATAATCAGGAAGGGTAAAAAATACAAGCATCTCAACCAAGATAGGAGGCTAGGGTTCCAAGGGAAAAAAAGGTCTAAGTTTAGACAAACAAGACTGCACCCATCTGACCTTTCACCTTTGACCTTCTTGGCAGTGGCTTACAGAGTCAAATAGGAAGCCTAGTTGCCTATCTAGTGTACCAGCTTCAGGGCCAGTTCCAGGTTTTGGGGGCCCCTAGACAGACAGTGCCCAGGAGCTGCCATCCTGCACGGCCTCCCATGCCTTTCTTTGAACCCCCACAACCTGCACACATAACAATAAAAATCCCAATCTCCCAGCCTAATAAAGCTCAGTAAAGCCTAATAACGTGTAATAAAATGCAATAAAATAATGGCTTGCATAGCAACAAATTGACACTGGTCTGCTCCAGGAAAGCTTTTCTGAATTTGGTTCTTCTTTGCACTGAACCACTAAGGGCAAATTGACCCTATTCAGGAGGAGTAATGGGGGACTGGATTCAGTTATCATGACTACTGGGTTGTTTTTTTGGGGGGGGATAATGTGCATTCCAGATTACAGTTTTTCAAAATAATAACAAAAATAACAATAAGTATTCCGCTATGGCAGTTATCATCCATAAAGCTAAAATAAAAATCTGGTTGTATCAGATTGACCGTAAGTGTTACAATATTTCAGAACTGAAATGAACTTGCTCCACAAAATTATATGCAATATTTTCTCTGGCCCTTTCTGATGTTCAGTATCCTCTAGATAGATCACATGGAATTGAGTCTGCTTTGCGGGGAGGGTGGGGTATAAAATTGATAATAAATAAAATAAATTTAAAAAATGGAATTGTAATTAATATTTGATTTTTAAAAAATATTTGATTTTTTAAAAGCTTATAAGATCTGAAGTATGGGAAGTGATGGTATCGCTTTGCTCTGCATTGTGTTCAGTTTTGGGCACCACAATTTAAGAAGGATACAGACAAGCTGGAACGTGTCCAGAGGAGGGCAACGAAGATGGTGAGGGGTCTGGAGACCAAGTCCTATGAGGAAAGGCTGAAGGAGCTGGGTATGTTTAGCCTGGAGAGGAGATGACTGAGAGGTGATATGATAACCATCTTCAAGTACTTGGAGGGCTGTCATATAGAGGGTGGTACGAAGTTGTTTTCTGTTGCCCCAGAACCAATGAGTTGAAATTAAATCAAAAGAGTTTTCGGCTAAACATTTAGAAGAACTTCCTGACAGAGTGGTTCCTCGGTGGAACAGGCTTGCTAAGGAGGTGGTGGGCTCTCCTTCTTTGGAGGTTTTAAAACAGAAGTTAGATGGCCATCTGACAGCAATGCTGATTCTGTGAACTTGGGCAGATCATGAGAGGGAGGGCTGGAAGGGGTGCATTAGTGCTTAGTTCTTGTGGCCCTTTCTTACACACCCAGGGAAATGCTGATCGCCACTTTGGGGTCAGGAAGCAACTTTTCTCCAGGCCAGTTTGGCCGGGGATCCTAGAGGGGTTTTTTGCCATCTTTTGAGCATGGAACAGGTGTCACTGAGGGTATGGGGGGAGGTATTTGTGAATTTCCTGCATTGTGCAAGGGGTTGGACTACATGACCCTGGAGATCCCTTCCAACTCTAATGTTTCTATGATTCTACGCCATCCTGAACTCTTCTGAAGAAAGGCAAGAGAATAAGTTCATCAAAGTCAAAATAACCAAGAGATGCCAACAACTCTAAAGTACTAACATGACGAGTTGTAGTTTGCATCAGAATTTCTTATTCAAATTTGGAGCTGTGAAACTGGAAATTTGCCAGATTTTGAATTCTTGAGATTATTTGTTTCAGCTGTGGAAATATTAGTGGAAGAGAATTTAGGTTCTGACATTCAGCACAGACTATGGGTTGGATACAGCCAGCTATTCCACTCAATCTCACTCAGTGAGAGCCAGTTTGGTGTAGTGGTTAAGTGCGCGGACTCTAATCTGGGAGAACCGGGTTTGAGTCCCCACTCCTCCACATGCAGCTGCTGATGTGACCTTGGGTCAGTCACAAGCTCTGGCACAGCTGTCCTTGAAAAAGAGCAGTTTCTGTCAAGAACTCTCTCAGCCCCGCCTACCTCACAGGGTGTCTGTTGTGGGGAGGGGAAGGGAAAGGAGTTTGTAAGCCGCTCTGAGACTCCTTCTGACATTCAGCACAGACTATGGGTTGGAGACAGCCAGCTATTCCACTCAGTCTCACTCAGTTACCCTCCTTACAACAGACTCCATCCCATAAACTTTTCCCCCATGAAAGTCCCATGATTTCCGGCATAGCCTTTGGGTGGTCAAGGGGAACACCCTGCTCCCTTTTTCAACAGTGCAAAAGCTGGTTAGATCCAACCCTAGCCTGCCTAAACAACACTTCCGCTTCCCCCCTCAGCATGCATGCCTATTATGAGCACACTACACCAGGGATGTCCTCACCAATACATGTTCTTGCAGGAACTGAATCCAGGGTGATCCAAAAAGAAACCCAAGACAAAACGACCAGCAGAGTGGATGGCACATAAGTCTCCAGAACGAAATAAAGGATATTTCTCTTGAGCTCAAACTGCACAATCAGCCTTGGGTAATTGCCTAGTGAGAGAAAGAAGATACATGCCATGGAAAAGAAAAGAGACGCATTGTAATTAACATGGAAGATCAAATTGGCTCCCAACAATAATTATTTATTCAAATTTTGGAATTGTTGAAATTCATCATCTTATAACCGGTAAGAAGGCAGGCTTGGTGACAGCGGATAGGATTGGTGGGACATCTTTCAGGGGCCATAAACCGGCAAGAGGCCCACTGCTGATTGGAGACAGATGGAGGCGGATGAACCTATGGCTGCTGCTATTTCCTGTGTAAGCCATGGACTGGAATGGGCTTTTGACATGGCTCAGAAGCAGTGCATAAAGGACTGTTTGTCACTTAGCTGCTGGATGTCCACAGAGATCTATGGGGAATCCTCCCATTTACCTTTGAAAGCCTTTTTTTGCCATCAAATAACCAGGGCTATTTTGGGGCAGGAACGCACAGGAACGGAGTTCCAGCTGGCTTCAGAGTTGGCCACTACACCCAAGCCAAGAGAAGGCAGTTTAAACTGCCTCCCCTCCCCTCCCCTCCCCTCCCCTCCAAGGGCTGGCTTGCCCAGGCTCCTCACAGCCACGGGGTGCCCGGGCAAGCCAAGGGAAGACAGTTTAAACTGCCTACAGTATTTTTATGACTATATATCCTAAACAAGTTTGTATAACAAGAACAAAAAGCAAGTCAGGAATGAGTAAACCAAAACAAGCTGCCCATTTCAGATGCCTTCCAGACATTCTACACTTACAGGGATCTGTCTTTGTAGCATGTAGGACTGGATCAGCGCTACACCATGAGGTAGCATGGGGCTGGGGACCAGATTTGAATCCTGCCCCAAAAGCATGACAGCCAGTCCCATTAGGATTGGTCCACCGTGATGTCAGGGGGTGTGGCCTTATGACACACTTCCGGTGATGTCAGAGGGTGTGGCATATGCTAATGAGTTATGCTAATGAGTCTCCCTAGCTCCTTTTCTACGAAACGACCCCTGGAGAGAACAGCAGAACTTTCTTACACACCTTTTGGCTCTGTCGACACCAGCCTTCCTGTCTGGCCTGGCAAGGCCAAAGGTAGTGATGAGAGTAATTATGCTCCTTCTACTGCCCAGTGCTCCACACACTGAGGAATGGGAGATTGCCAGGGCTTTTTTTGTAGAAAAAGCCCAGCAGGAACTCATTAGCAGAACAGGCCACACCCAACAGCAGAAATTTATTTGCTTATTAGGACACACCCCTGACAGCACAGCTCATTAGCATATTAGGCCACACACCCCATGTCCGCAGAAGTGTGGTCATCCAGACACACCCACCTTTTGCTTCTTATTCTGTTTACCTTGTTTGTTGTCAAAACCCAGGGCTTTTTTAATAGCAGGAACTCCTTTGCATGTTAGGCCACACACCCCTAATGTAGCCAATCCTAATGAGTTTCTGCTGTTGGGCGTGGCCTATTATGTTAATGAGTTCCTGCTGGGTGTGGCCAATTCGGGAGCCAGCCGGAACTCCGTTCTTGTGCGTTCCTGCCCAAAAATAGCCCTGGAGATTGCCATTACAGCTGCAAGCACCATCAATGCAACAGCACTGTGAATGGGGAAACGGAAGGGGGAACCATACAGGTCTCTTGCCTGGAACCTCCTAAAACCTGGAGCCAGTCAGGGCAGAATGCATTTGTCACTGACACCCATAGCCTCAGACTGGGATCCTGGTTACTCAACTGTAAGCAGTCCCCTCTGGATCCTCCTGTAGCCTGATTGGCCATGCAGTTCTCCCCCTGTGTTCCCTTCACACCTCTGTGCCCCAGTCATCCTGTTGCTGAGTGACCATCAAGGACTTCCTGGCACTGTTGCACTGCTCTGCTGTTCCTGTGACCCTGTTGCTCTGTGGACTGTCCTGACCCACTGTCTTCCTCTCCTCTGTCAGCTCCTGAGACTACCGGCCTGGGTGTCCCAGTTGCACAGTTCCTTGGAACTGCTGCATCTCCTTAGGAGAAGGCGGGCTTGCGGTGTTCTTCTCGACTGCTGCCTGCATGGTCGCCTCGGTCAGCGCCTCTTCCTCCCAGCCTGCATCGCCTCTCTGCTGCCTCCTTAGTGTCCCCCTCCAGTGTCTTGGCCACAGCTGTCTTTTAACAGGGTGGGTGGCTTGGATGAGCCCCGCTCT